AAAATCTGACACCAGCTTTAGGTTCTTGGGCCCAATGTACAAGGCCCTGTTTGGAATGCTCAGCCTTGGTCCCATTCTGGTGGTAAACTGGAAGGTCTTGGGGTGCTCTGCATGATTGGCAGTGGGTTTTGTTTTGAGGGAGAAAGGCTTCTTCCTCTTCTTATATCGTTGGATTCCAGACCTTTCTGTTTCCACTACTGTTTCCAAGGGAAAAACTCAGGCAGGCAGGCATGTAGGCAGGCGCCCTCTGGTGTGTGCAGGCTTTGTGAGGATGTCTGTGGGGGACCCAGGCTGGCAGTGATCTGCTCTGCTGTCCCCCACCAGGAACATTGTGAAAGGCATGCGAGAGCTCCGGGAGGTCCTGCGCACGGTGGAAACCAAAGCAACTCAGAACTTCAAAGTGGTAATGGAGGTGCCCCTCACCCCGGAGGGCCGGGGGAAGGTGGTTCTCCTGTCGGACAGTAGTGGGAGACACTAGCAGTCCTGGCACACAGCCCCTGACCAGGCATGGCCGTATGTTGCGTACCTGCTCATACTCCCCCATCTGTACTCAGGGCAGACACTGCTAATCAATCTCCGAGTTCCTTCCCCCTGAGCCTGGGAAGCACTCTGCATCCTTCACACAGCACAGTGGCTATACCCTGGTGTCTGAAGCCTTCTGCCCTGTGTCCTATGGGCTGATGTGCTCATTCTTAAGGATCGATCTGTGTGTGATTTTATGATGTAACATTGACTTAGCTCTCCTGTCCTGGCTCAGGCTTACCTAGTTCTTGGGCCTTAAAATAATTTCACCCAAAACCAGAGCCACAGCGGCTGCTTCTAGCTCTAGCCAGGAGGGTGGCCTGCACCCATGGCTTTATGTTGTTCACCAGCTCTGCCGGGTGCTCAGAAACTTGCTGGCCCCCAGACTCAGGATGAGGAGGACAAGATTAGGACAAGGAAGGGCACAGGGTAGCCAGGGAAGCCGGGCCATTCTGCAGGATCTGAGCAGCAGGAGACAGCCTTGGGAGTGGGGCTCCTAGGGGGGGCATGCATTGTAGGGTGGGAGGAGGAGGCCCCTGGGGGCCACATGCCCGGGTCTGAGCCTTCCACTTTCCGTCCATCCTGCAGATGGCAGCCAAGCATCTGGCCGGGGTCCTGCTCCACTCCCTGAGTGAGGAGTGCTACTGGAGCCCCCTGTCCCAACCTCTGCCCGAGTTCATGAACAAGGAGGAGAGCTTCTTCATCACTCAGGCCCTGCGCAAGCCTCACCTCTACGAAGGAGACAAGTAAGCTGTCCGGCCCTGCTTGCTGCACCACACCAGTGTCCTGTCCATACCTGTGGGCCCTGGCCTGTACTCTCTTCCAGCCGCCATCCAACTCACTGCCGGACAGTCTTTTTAGGATTGAGAGGCAGGGCTCAAGGTGGGGGCTGGACACCCAAAATCCTAGAAGGCATCCAAAGACCAAATAATTATTTGGGGGTTAGTGATGGGCTGCTTGCTGGACAGCTGGCAGTTCAAACCCATCAGCTGCTCTGAAGGATCAAGACGAGGCTCTCTTGCTTCTGTGAGGGGTAAAAGCCTGGGAACCCCAGGGACCCGTTCCACTCTGTGCCAAGGCTCACTGTGAGTCGGCATGGCCAGCACCCCTAACACCCCATCTCCCTTGCTTGTGCCAGTGCATGAAGGCAGGGCCTGGGGCTCACCTGCCAGAGCCACTGGGTGGCCAACCCAGCCCCTGGGGCAGCTGGGTGGGTGCTGGAGGGGCCTCCTTAGCCAGAGCCCCTGCTGTGTCCATGCCTGTAGCTACTGCAGCCTTTCAGGCCCACTACTCTGGGCATGTCTAAGAGCTGCGGGCGGTGTCTGGTGCCTGTGAATTATGCAGGAGAGGGTCACCTTACCGGGCCTGGCGTCGGGCTGGGGCTGGCTTGGGGGCTGAGGGCTGGGTGGCTGGGCCAGCAGGCTGCTCCCCTGTGGCGCTGTGTTGGAGCGAGGGCTGTGCTTGTGTCTTTCAGCCTCTACTGCCCAAAGGACAACATCGAGGAAGCGCTCCTGCTGCTGCTCATCAGCGAGTCCATGGTAAGCACCAGGTCGGCCTCGGGCACCGTGCTCCGCCGCCAGGGGCTGTCCCCACCCAAGGGGCAAGTCTCCCGTGCGACCGGGACTGAGGGATGGAGCCCCCGACCAAGACCAAGTCTGGGGATCCTCCCTGGCTGGGTGCTGGGACGGGCATGAGAGGGGCAGGGGCAGGAGGCTTTGGAGACAGAGCCCGGCATCAGGGTACTGGGGGGTGAGTCGTTGCCTCTCTTTGAGCCTGTTCCTCATCAGTAAAATGACAGTCCCCCCCGAGGTCACTGGGGTAGAAGGGCTTCCTCCTTTCCTTGGGCAGTGCTTTAGCAAGGTCCCACTCTGCCAGGCCCCCCATCCAGGCCTGCGTGGAACTTTGTCCTGGGGGCGTGTGTGTGCGTGCGCGCGCTCAATGTATGAATCAGTAAAACATGCAGGTGAAAGTCCAGCAGAGAAGTGAGTGAGAGGGCAAGATAAAGCGCACAGAGTTCTGGGTAACTGATCAAATATGATCATAAGACCTGCAGGGCACACACTCACACATACACACACCACACACTCACACATACATCACAGACACAAAACACACAACACATACTGTGTTAGCCCAGCTAGACTAGAGAAACAAATTCAAACACGCATATGTATATAAGAAAGAGGTTGTTTTT